ATAATAATGACGCACAAGAAGCCTTGATTAGTCATGCGCGGGAAGACTCGCCTGCACACATATGCATACATACATACGTACATATGCGTGGAAATGCATTTTCTTTTTTTTTTACTTTTAATCTAAATGTGTAGTTAATGTCATGTTGTTGTCCTTGGTGTCGTACTGTTACAATTTTGTGATTGTTTTTTACATGTTGATTGGACAACTGCCGATGCGGTGCGGGACGTTTCTGTTGGTTCGTCGTACGATTAATGATCCTCGAAATTTATTTTTCGTTTTGGTAAAGCAAAATTACATTGCTCGTGAATTTCCTACATTTTTTTTTTTTCCATTGACGCATCGTCGGACGCGCTCGTGCCAATACCTGTATTCGCTAGTTCGCTTTTAACGGAATTCATGCAAATTTTCGTGGCCACGCCATTGTCAAAGCCAAAATTGATGCAATTTCCAAAAGCCCGCGATTGACGAACGCGCAAAAATCGAGTTTCTTTTTTCACGCGCGGAAATTGCCACAGCGACAATGGCAGGGTCACGAAGCGAACAGAAGCGCAACGCACGGCCCACTCGGCTGTTGTCCACGAAATATCCACGCCCCTTACCCCGTTGCCACAATTAGATGATGCGTGGGTACTCGTGAATGCCAGATACTCGCGATTGGATGATGTTTCATAGAGCATTCGGTTGGAACAGTAGTCTTACAAAGCTTTTTTGTTGTTTAGCAATATTTTTAATTTTCATTTCACACTGGCTTCTGGCACTTCAACTAGCTCAGTAGACTCACCGTTCCAATGAAAGCTTCACCTTGACTGTGCACATATTTTTTTCTTCCTCTTGAAAAACAAAAATAAAAAGATAGGGGGCCAGATTTTGGAATGTCAAAGTGCCTCCCAAACTAGCTACGGCAATTTCAAACTTTACGACGCACTAGGCGCGTGCATACAAAAGCTTTATTAAAAAGAGTACCCGCAAGCTCGGGTAATCAAGTGTATACCTGCGATATAGTCGCCGTCGGTGGCAACAGAAGCAGCAGTCAAAACACAATGCTCTATGGAATTGACTGGCCATTTGCCAAATGTATCGTAAGTGTGCGTGAACGGTGAACATGTACATGTGCGTAAATGTGCGAGGATGCAATAATGATAAATGTGTAGGCGTATTTGTGTATTTATGTGTAAATATAGAGAAAAAGACAGAATTTGTAATGATGATGATGATGATGATGATGGTGGTGGTGGTGGTGCAGGGGATGTGGCGCATACAATAGCGATAAAAAGTGTAAAAGTGAATATGGCCTCTGTGTGTTAATTTCAGCAGCGGTGAGCCCGCCTCATCGTATGTGGTGGACAGTACTGGCTGCATGTACACACCAAGGTACGTTAGACGCCGGTTAACTTTTTTTTCTTTTGCTCTTTCTCTCTCTCTCTCTCTCTTTCTGTTTATTTCTCAATCGTCGTGTTGTTATTGTAAACCTGTCTGTCTCTATATTTGTCCAGCTCTCAATGTCTGTGTCTTTGTACGCGTGTATTATTCGTTTGAAAATATTTTCATGCTCTCGTGTAATGTATCCTTTAAAGACGACGTATACGAGCATTGTGTTCCTCAAACATAATTCGATTTGGACTTACCTTTGTTGAACATTCGCCGGCTGAAACTGCAGCACGAGAAAAGATTTTGGCATTAAGCATTGAATGTTCGTTTTAAAATTAACTCACGGAGTCAGCAATAATTGAGTAGAGGGAAAGTTACCGAGAAACTTTACTCTGGGTGCATTCTGGTACATGAAAATTTTAAACATTGTTCGTTAACAGGGTAACTTTCATACAAACGGGTTTTTTTTACTTTGGATCGGTGGATATTGTGGTTTATTTTTAAATTTTATCTCGTGAATTTTTGTGTTTTTTTTTTTTTTTTCAATTTGCCAATTTAATCGGCTAAAACCCTTTTATCATGCAAATTGTATATTTTGATGCTTGTCCATTTTTGTACATCAAAAAGCTCAATATTTTCCTTCTTGGTCGGCTCGCCTTTGCTGCTCGCTGGAACATAAATGATGCGCTCTGCACACGCACACCACGCACTATTTCCATGCTTTTTCACAGATAAAGCTTTATTATGAATAAACGCATGCATACACCCAACTCATCAGCCTGCACATGTCGTGGTGTATTTATCGTGCTACGGAAATCACGATGCTGGGCTTGTGCGTGGGTTGTTGCTCAATGGTAAAATTACTTCGATACCCTCCATCATCGTTATTAAAATTCAGCTTTATTCGCATGCATATTACAAACTCGAAGCGAAAATGCATCCTCCACATGGCCCTTTGCTGGCTAAAATTATAATACTTCATAGCACCGCATTATAATTATTAATTGCATATGTAATGAAGTAGTTTGTAATGCGATATTCTCCACTCTAAATAATTCGTATTTGCATACCTCTATCAAACGTTGTGTAATTTTGGCAGGAGATAATCGCCGACGGCTTATTCGTGCATGAGTTTTAGAGCATGGCTTTAGGTATCTGTATGTGTCTTTTGCGTCAGAGTTTCCCGAGGGAATGGTTTTTTCGAGCGTAAAACAATGTTAATGAATTTTTAAAAGCTTTCGCGGTATTGATATATTTCTGCGCAATGAAGCGGACCCACGGAAACGCCAAATTTATCAGGTTCAGTAGAGCACTGGCATACTAAAGTATTTTCCCTCGACTCTTGCCTTCTCCTTCTTTTTTATAAAAATTGGATTTGTACGCCGTGCTGCTGCGTGATTTTAAGCTTTCCTGCGCCGAAGGTAAACGTATATTTATGGTGGGATATTGCAGTTTCGTATCTCAGATACTTATTGTTTTTTCCTCGCTTTTTGAATTTTTAATGGAAATCGCTGAGACGAGGGAAGCAGCACGACTGGGAAAGACGGGCGTTTCCTGGACTGATACGCGGAAAAAAATTGTTCAGTTTCCTCAACTGTAGTGAAAATATTAGTGGAAATCCTTTCAATCAGTCTTTAATCACTTTAAAATATTTTAAAAAGTACAACAATAATTAAGAGATTATTTATTTAGTTACTTAAACGAAAATCGAATCTGAACAACGAAACGAGGTGTTTGATCATATTTCTTGTATTTTTGCATTGATCAAATCAACCAAAATTATTTTTACGCGCAACCTATTAGTCTACATTTCAAACTCGCCACACAAGCCATATAACGATAATGCAGGCACCACAGAGTTGCACATTTTATGAATTACACAATTGTAGAAAGTAGCTGTCTCGCATAGCATGTGTTCCATTCAAAGCTTCAAATAATATGGAATACTATAGTTCCGCAAAACACAAACCACTTTCTGCGACAGATTTCCTGGATTCATGCTGCTGTTCTCTTTAAAATATGAAAGTCACTTTATGCGCGAGATCCCCGATAAAATTATCTTTTAATAAGCAGCGCGTTTAAATTGCCTGCACCGGAGGGGCTGCGCTCTCGAATTTATGGCAGCTGGGCACGGGCCTCCACCGATATTTGTTTTACTCGGAAGAAGCGAGGCCTGAGGGAGGCGCACCGACGCTCTGGGTAGTCGTAAAAGATACATGAGGTATTCTTACTGGGATGGAGTTGCAGGTGTGCGCCTTTCTATTTTTGGGCTTATGAAAAATTCGCTACCCCCCGACTCGCTTCGTAATATTTTTAAAGCAGCCTATAGAGACGGAAAAACACCGTTTTGCATTAACATTGATCCAGATACCTTGGTGATATTTACTCCTGTTCCACATGCTCACTTTATACAGACCATGTCCCGTATATTTTTCACATGCTATGGCATCTTTAATGTCTTTAATGCCTCGACAAGTAGTATAGGTCCGCCTGTGGTCAGACACATCCATTATGCGTCTCACGCACTTACTGACATCGCTATTTTTAATAAATACTGAGAATTTAGTTGGATTTAAATAAGTAATACAAGCATTACGTACGCTATTACTTTGATGAAATGAAGTGGGCCCCTGTTCTTGCGTTGTATATCCTTGCCCCGTTTAAATTAAAGACCCAAGTGCGGCATAAAGACGTTGCAAAACGGGTGACATTTATGGGCGCGACACCCTAAGGTGGCTAGATTAGCTTTCAAGAAAGCCGGAATTAGTGCCGAAATTTCAAATGCACTGTTGCTGTGTTTTCGGCATTAAATTTCGTCGAGGGGCCACGAGATATGGAAAATAAGCTAGCTAGATGCGGCAGTTTAGCATTATTTCAGGCGCTCCGCACTTGGATGTAGCTGCCGCTGCTGCTGCAGGAAAATGAAATTTTCTTTTCGCGATTCTTACATTCTTATGACTTACTGTTATGAGTATGATATTATTATTTTTCCTCAAGAGCACGTTCTTTTTGTTGTTGTACGTGTACCATGTAATAAATTTAATTGTATTTCTTTACTTCTGAAAATAGCCTACGTGAGCAAGAGTACATGCGATATCTGATTAAATGTATTTATGTTTTGCTCATTATGTGATTTAAAATTTATACAAACATGTTACGTAGACCAGAACAGTTTGGTAAATGAAGTAGTTTTATTAAATATTATTCATTTTCGTAAACAGCAATACACATAAAACAATCATAAATGTTTGATGCGTTTGAAAAAAAATTTTTCTCCCCTTAGTTTATTTGTGATTTTTTTGCTTATTGCTGTTTCTACAGTCAAACGTTTAAACTTAAACAAATTGCACTACCTTTTTTCTTGAATAACAGTTTATTTTAATTGAGATCGACTGTTTTAATTACATATCGAAGCCCTATAATTTTTCAATCGCATATTCGAATTTCTTACACGAGCACATTAAATAATTTTTATTTAAAGATCCTATTCTTTGACTGTTTTCCCAGAAAAAAAATTGTAATTTTAAAAAAGCTACTGCTTCTATAAACGCAAGCTACCAAACTGTTCTGGTGCACTTTGTAATAGTACACTGAAGTTTTGTTGAATTACAATTCCCTTTCTGTTCCAGGGGCTTCGGATTCATCACATTTGCAGATCCATCGAGCGTAGACAAAGTTTTAGCCCAGGGCACTCACGAATTAGACGGCAAAAAAGTGAGTATACTATTTTTATTTTTCTGTTTAATACACCATGTTTTTGTTTTTTCATTTTCAAAGTTGCGACTGAAATGAGACCAATTCAATCGTTACTACCCAAAATTTATCTCAAAAAAATTCCTAAAAACCAAAATAACACAAACTAATTTTTCCATGGAGCAACGCCCCTTTATCAGGTGCAGGGAAAAATGAGGGTTGTGATTAGATAAAATAAAATCAAGATAAAAAAGGCAAAGCTGCAGTCTCTCTCAAATGGAAGAGGGGGGGGGACGCATAAAGGCGACGCATTACATCTCACCAGGGAGAAAGCTTGGTTTTAGATAGCTCGGCCCCGCGCAAATGGATGCAGGCATTAGCTGTCCGCGCGAGTGTGCAGCCGTTGCGCTACAGAGCAGCCACAAGAGAGAGAGGGCGAGTAAAGTAGTCCCTCCGAGTACGAAATATCGCAAGCCCTCACATCGGCCAACATAAATTTCGCTCTACTTGTCCTAATGCGAGCTGCGGAGACCGCACCTTTCGCCTTCGTTACGTTAAATTACCCTCGCGCGTAACACGCGTGTACGTAAAACACCACCGCAGCCCTCGAGTCTTCGCTGCTCTCTGCCGTTGCTGGTATACATACGTAAACCTTTTGTCTCATCATATACATACGCGTTTTGCGTGGATTAAAGTTAAGTGGCTTTTGAAATAAATACCCGCTGAAATGTACGCGCTTAGCTTCAAGAGCCCCTGCAGCTGTACAATGCACGACAGATATTGTTTTCAAAAAGGAGAGACGAGAGTCCACGGATGATTTTCTAGAGTTTGCTAGAAGGGTAGTGCTTACTTTTGCCCAGCTCGGCTTTCACATTGAATAACGCGCTGTGTAAACAGGCCGAGATGAATTTCAATGTGCGACGCGTTTAGCATGAGCGCATATATATATTACGATCTTTGATCGTTTTGACTGCGTTAAATAAGTCTTAAATAGCGTGCGGTCGTGATTTCGCCAGTCTATCATTCGTTTTGTTGAATTATAGTGACTTTCTGTCTCTGTTTGAGAAAAAAAAAAAAAAAAAAAAAAAAAAAAAAGATAATGTCGCGTGAGTTTTAATGTGTCCTAGTTTCGCGTAGCACTTACACATCAAGTGATCATATACATGAGCTGGTTCTATTGATAACGTTGAGAGATGAAAAAAAATTTCGATCGAAAGTAACGGAGAGGCTTTTAGGATTATTAAAAGTACATCTCCTCTAATGGCTGAGACGATATAAAATGTCGGGAGGATGTATGAATCGGAGTTTTGACTTGCCGTTTAGTTATAAAATAATCTTTTGACTTAGCTTCGAGTACAAATTAATCTATTGACAGAAACCAAAATATAAGTATTAGGTAAGGACGTAAGCATCTAGAGGGAGAAATTTCATTCAATTTACCTATGAAAGTAAAATTACATTTCAGAGGGAAGGATAAAAAGTTTTAAAACGTTTTATCGCTCAACTTTTGGTAGTTGTGGATTTTATCGTACTACAATAAAGATAATCAGTCATCCATTATGCCACACAAAATTATAAAAAGTCATTATTATTTTAATTGATATTTTAGCTTTCGGTTGGAAATTAGAATCAACAAATTTATCATTTTGTAATTTTTATTTATTGAATTTTAGATTATCATGATTTAATTAACGTACTTACTTACCTAGAAAATGACTGATACGTACTAGGGTTTGTAAATCAAAGAGTTACTAATGTATTACCAATTTAAGGATACTTATACTTTTTGTCAGTTTTGACGTGGCAGATTAAATCCATACAATCCTGACGACCATACATATCTCGTACGCAAAATATTCATGACAATTGAGCTATTGTGGAGTTCAAGCAAAAGACGGTAATATTAAAAATAATTCATTTTTTTGTTTTACTTAGATAACCAACAACTTCTTGAAAAGTTTTGTATTATCTTCGGAAAGACTAAATGTATTGTACTAAAAAACAGATAACTATGAAGGTAATGCCATGGAATTTTTCTACAATACGTACACACATCTTTAAAGTGCGTCCAATTTTTTTATAATTGCGTAAAATATGTATGTCTAAGTAAACGCTATTGTTGAATGTGCTCGGCACGTAGACATATATTATTGCAAAAAAATCGGATAGCGTCACTGCCAAAGTCATCATTTTTTAAATAACTTCCATTAGGAATTTTCGGAGATAACGATAGCACATCAAAATTTTTTAACGGTTTTCTGAAAAGCATCCACATTGAAATGGAAAAAAAACTGAAAAAATAAGTTAAAAATAATTTTAAATATCACCAAATTCATAAATAATATTCAAACTGTTGCCATCTAATAATATGTAGTGATGCTTACAATATTATAAAATTTAAATAACTTTTACTTTGTTAGAGTACGAAAATTATTAAAAATCATTGCATAAGGTAAAGGAAGGTAAAGCACAATGATCCTTATACATTTTATCGGTTCTAACAGCGTTGCAGAGTTAAAACTCTGTACAATATGTATAAAATAACTCGAGCTAAGTACCAACGGTAAGAGCGATCCTTTCGCAACTGTTCTCGTATAATTATTGAAAAAAAAATTTTATAAGAAAATTTTAGCTCTTTTCTATAATTTTCTTGTTCGTGCATTTTTTGTTGTAGTAAATATTGCAGTTAAGATGGAATGGATTCATTACACATAATTTTAAAAAAAATATTATTATTTCAGCACATATTGAAAAATAATTTTTCTCTTTAGGGGATTATTTTCCACTACCATTCGTTACATACGGACTTTTTATCAATTTTATTGAAGACATATGGACTACAACAAAAAATTTTATTTTAACTTGGGTAACTTTAATTTACTTTCAGGTTGGCTAGTATTCTATAAAAATGTGTTGCTTATCACTTTTCTTTACTGATAAATAAGCTCTAAAAAAAAAATCACTTAACTAATTGAAAAATTATCTTTGGTTTCTAAATCTCTCTCTCTCTCTCTCTCGCCTTAAAAGTATATTGGGCTGATTAAGAAAACTAGGCAAGCTTAGCAAGGTGCATTACAAAAAATTAGATGGTTAAAAAAAACTGTGTAAAACCTTGAGACGATAATAATAGTGTTGGTTTTAACTTAATATTTTTGAAGTTGGTTAATTATTGTATTATCTAAAGTGGAAAAGTTTCGAATAAGTCTGTTAAAGTAATATTTAAACACGTTTAATACCTTAAAAATTAGTGGTTTTTTTATATAGCAGTACTTGTCGCCGGAGCAAGCACCAGGCCCAAGGGACTCCTTGCTTGATTGCCCCGGTTAAACCTGCACCAGGTTCAAACTCTATTTTTCTTACTAAGGATCTAATAAACATCAAAAGGTAAAAAAACGCCCAAAGTAGAAAAAAAAATTCTTTTCATACAGCGTAAGTTTTACAAAAAATTAATACACAGGATCTATTAGGTTTTAAGGATTTAATATACGAGTGTAGTAATGTTTACGTTTAATAATGTTAAATGTCAAATTTTGGTGATAAGTAGGGGTGTACGTATGTAACACATGCATAAAAAACCTAAAAAAATAACTTCAAAAAAAAAAAAAAAATTTTTAAAAACATTTTCATTAAAACTCCTATCTTTGTCACTAATCAGGTCATTGTATTATATTCGAAGAAATAATTGATAAGATTACCAAAGCTGTTTCATTAGAATCTCCCCCTGAAAAAACGCATATCTACTGCTGCCTACGGCTCCTGATTTTTTATCAAATATAGCTACTTTTGCTGCGATACTTACACCGTTGAGTAAAACTAGTCTTCAGTTGCATTTTATAGCGCTAAGCTGACGCTCGTTTGATAGTGAGTAGCCACTTTTCTCTTCATTATCATACGACGGGACTTGTGCTTTTGTGCGTGCTTTTTATATACTACACCAAGTGTAGTTTGTTCCGTCTTTGTACATCTATCAGTTGGATTACAATCATTCTCAAGTTTCAATCAATATTAACTGCAGTTAAATTTCTTTCTTAACTAGTTATAAATTATAAATAAATATATAACTAGTTATAAAAATAAATAATTATAGTTATAAAAAAAAAAAGAAAATGTTACTCAAATTTGGGTTACTGTTGAGTACGTTCTACGTTATGATCGCAGCCCAAGAAAGTGTTAACCTACCATTCGATGTTGAACTTGATGTCCTATTGGAGTGGAAGGACAATTTAAAATTCGTGCGTTTTTCCAACGAGAGTTATCCAGATGATGGTAATGAGTCCTTCGTACAAGGACAATACGAATCACTGGAGAATATCAGATACTGGAGGGATAATTTATATCTGACCATACCTCGATATTTGGAAAACATGCCAGTGACATTGGCCATGATCCCAGCCTCATCAATGGAATACACAACAGCACCATTTCTTGAGCCGTACCCCAACTGGAACATGCAGATAAATGGGGGTAATTGCTCGGGATTACAGTCGGCTTGTGGTATCGAGATAGACCCGATGGGCAGAATGTGGCTACTGGACAATGGTTTAACGAATTCTATGAACACAGAGGTCCTATGTCCAGCCCGTTTGGTAATCCTTGATCTTGAGGATGGAGGAAAGGTGCTCATGACATATGAGTTTCCGCATGATGTAGCTAATCCCAAGACATGTAGTCTCGATGGCATTGTTTTGGACCACGAAGATGGCGGTTTTGCCTATATCAGTGAAAATAGCGGTGAAAGCATAATTGTCTTCTCACTACAGAACTACACCTCGTGGAAGATCACACCAAGTACAAGCTGTAACATGATGTCACTGTCACCAGCAGTTAGTAAAGGCACTCGGATGCTCTACTGCATGAAGTCAAGTGGGTACGGAAATTTATTGGCACTGCCTACTAGCGTGCTGAGGAACAAAAGTTTGCAGTTGGACGTGTTTGAAAAGGCCCAGGAGATTACCATAACCCCAGAAAATTGGCAGGGTATGACTATTTCTAATACTGGAGTTATGTTTCTTAGTCAGAAT